TTCTATTAGCAAAATTATTTTTAGGTCTTTTAGAGCCTTTGGATTTTTCTGACTTTTATAGACTTTTATAGAGTGATTTGGCCCTCGGAAAACTCCGGTCCTTGCGCATTTTAATTTGCCAGTGCAATGTTTTGTTTCGTGAGCGTGGTCTTCGTCAGTACATTGCATAAAAATATTCTACATATTTTTCCATATAAAGGTTTTTCAATAGATCTTGGTCCTGGAAATACGTGATTATATGCATGTTTTTAGCAAAGCTATATATGACATAGAAGGAATTGAAAGTCAACCTCGTCCCCAGGGCCTTTTGAGGAAAGAGGCGAAGCAGCAAAGGCCCTGGTAAAGGCTGGTCACGTGATGCTTCAAATTTTGAATATTTCGGAATATTTAACTTTTCAAACCGGGGGTGCGGGCCGCTTTGATTTTATCAAACATGGCCGTGCAAAGGGGCGATAGAAGCTTTTGCGACTGAAACTATGATGATAAACTTTTCAACTGACAGTGGAAATAAATATATAGTCTGCGATGCACACGTGTAACTATTCAGCATTGCTTTATAAAAGTGACAGTGCTGGACTTAAAGGCGCTGGTTTAATGAAATATGGATCGATAATATGTAAAGATTGCACATTTTATTGGGGAAGGCATAGGTTTCTATTGGAGAGGGCCATTGTTTGCCCGGAGTAGCCAAATAAGCACTCACAGACGTACGGGAAGGAAAAATTATGGGAGTTGTGGGGCCAAAAATAAATTTTTCAAGATTTTTGTAATCCATCCATATTCAGTCTTGGATTTTCGATTATTATCTTAAATATTTGTTGTATTTTCGGCTCTTATATTCCCCCCGAGGGGCATTTCACTCCAAAAATGCGTACGGGATTTTCGGATTTTTAAAAATCCGCGGACTTTTTAGCGGATTTTTTAGCGGATTTTTGAAGAGAAAATCTGTTGGATTTTCCGGATTTGTTTGGATTTTCCGGATTTGCTCGGATTTTTCCCGGATTTTTTGACGAAGCGTATGGGATTTTCGGATTTTCAAAAATCCGCGGATTTTTTAGCGGATTTTCCCGGATTTTTAGCGGATTTTTGAAGAGAAAATCTGTTGGATTTTCCGGATTTGTTCGGATTTTTTCCGGATTTTTTGACGAAGTGTACGGGATTTTTGGAGTGAAATGCCCCTCGATTCCCCCCCCCCCCTCCACCTCGTACGCTCCAATTGTACAAATTTTGATCGCGCTCATTTCAAAAAAGAAATGAAAAGGTTTTGCTTGTTTGCTCTCGTATACTACAGTTACATAATGAAATAGACCTATAGTTACATTCATTATCCTGCACTCATTTAGGGATTTAGACATGTTTTTATTTCCGTTTCAGAATAATTTCCTGAAAAAATGTCGAAAACTTACAGACTTTGAAGCTTGGTCACCGCAGACCTGAAGCACATTTGTCAAGCTGTGAAAGGAATCCGAGTAGCTGAAACAATTACCCACCCAGGCCACCCTTCACTGTTAGCTTTACAAGGATCTGATTGAAACCGACTCCGAGTTAAACATGCTCTTCACGACTATGTTTACTCAGAATTTGATCCACCTGAAGAGAATCCAATCTCAGACTACATGGATATGCTGTAGAAGATGCAGACAATCATTACCAGCGCTTCTGAGTAACGGTAGTCCACTTGGTAGTGCACCCCTTGATCACATCCTGATATACGTGATGGCGATACCTTCAGGAACCATGGCTTTTATCAATGATAAAGTCAACAAATGCTTCAGAAATATTCTCAACAACTGCGCGTAGATTCTGAATAGTCCAGATTCACGAGACGTCTTGAATAGCGAGGTAAACGAGAATGAACACTGATCCTTTTACACCGATTTTCGCTAGCATATTTGCGAGATGCAAGTACATACTCTTTCGATCAACACTACACATACTCTATCGATAATCAATAAATGATCATAGAAAAAGTTTTATTGATTTATTGATCAATTGCTAGTATAAGAATAAAACATCCTGCGAGTATTATTATCTTGTGAACTATAATTAAAGATACGAGTTGTCTAAGGACAAGACACAAAAATCAAGATGGCCATTTCACTCGCAAAGCTATCAATAATTTTGAAGTATAGAGTCGAAAAATCAGCTTGAATTTTATCCTTATTTTTCAACCACTCAAATTGTCTGCTGGCAAAGGAGTTTGATTGAATAATTTCATTTCATATATAGGATGGCCATGTCCCGATGCTTTGGAAACAATACCTGACTTCCTTGAGACATACAAAGTCGATTTAGCTGATCCTTATTATGGGTTCAAGTCATGGAATGATTTTGTTGCCACACTGTTAATTTCAAGGAGTAGATACTACTCCAAAAAAGGAGTAAAAAAAAAAGGTAGGCCTACCAGTTGACTCTGTTTTGGGAGTATTTTTTACTCCAACATTTTAACTCCACTTTTAGAGTACTTTCTACCTCACTAATGGAGTAATATTTACTCCAACAGGAGTAATAAATACTCTAATTTAGAATTTTACTCTCATTTTGGAGTAAAAAATATACCAAAAGTGGAGTAATATTTACTCTCACAGGAGTACTAAATACTCTAGTTTAAAATTTTACTCTCATTTTGGAGTCAAAAATATACCAAAAGTGGAGTAATATTTACCCTAACAGGAGTACTAAATACTCTAGTTTTAAAATTTTACTCTCATTTTGGAGTCAAAAATATACCAAAAGTGGAGTAATATTTACCCTCACAGGAGTACTAAATACTCTAGTTTAAAATTTTACTCTCATTTTGGAGGCAAAAATATACCAAAAGTGGAGTAATATTTACCCTAACAGGAGTACTAAATACTCTAGTTTTAAAATTTTACTCTCATTTTGGAGTCAAAAATATACCAAAAGTGGAGTAATATTTACCCTAACAGGAGTACTAAATACTCTAGTTTTAAAATTTTACTCTCATTTCGGAGTCAAAAATATACCAAAAATGGAGTAATATTTACCCTAACAGGAGTACTAAATACTCTGTTTTAAAATTTTACTTTTATTTTGGAGTCAAAAATATACACAAAATGGAGTAGTAGAATTAAACAAATAGTAAAATTGCAATGAATAAAGGAAGAAAATTTTAATTAATATAACACTTTGATCATACGTACAAGGATTATATATGTTTTACTGGCTAACGCCTACCCTGGTTCCAGAGGCTCTTTGCAAGGCGAAATAAACGAGAGGCGAGCAGGAAGAGCCTCTGGTCTCATCGGTTGCAAATTCCACTTCCACACTTGGTTAGGTTCAGAATTTCAATCTTGCATGTGATTGGCCATTTGTAAAAATATGTCTAACCGGTTTGGGAAATAAACAAGCTAATTATGCCTTTTATAGCTATAATTAGCTTACAGTAATGTTGTTTCGCCTCGCAAAGAGTTCCTGGAACCAAGGTAGTTAACGCTATCAAAATTGCTGTCTATATGCATGCAGTAAGTTGAAAAAGATTTGTTCGACCTAACTAAGTTAAAAAAATTCTTACAAATTCTTTTAAAAATAAAGTCCTTACAAATTCTTTTACACTTAGTCGTAAAATTAGTCAATTTGCCCATTCTGCAAAATTAATTCCTACCGTGATGACAGAAACTTTGATAGCGCAGCCTTCAGGTATAAGTACAAAAATTTACATGCATTCAATTACAAGTATACTAATACTGCATGTTTACTAGTAACATGCATGATGCAGAGCACTACAGTAGGTCGGTTAGGTTAATTGTTAAAATGTTATTCAAGTTCTTGCAAATATTTGTTGATTGCAACCCTTTTTTAGCTTCCCTAGTTCTCTGCATCACCGCAGCTTCCAAAAACAGGAATACATTTTTGCTTGATAGTTGACACAGGGTATTCTGGCAATATTGAACACTTAATAGCAACTTACAAGATGCGCCAACGCATTCTCAATTGTTATTGAACTGTTCGATTTCATCAGGATCTTGCCCTCTCTAGCGATGTACAATGGCTTTACATCACCGGACATGACCAGCCCCCACAAGTCTTGGTGCGACTGATGCTTCAATGGCATCATCAATAGATTTGTCACCCTGTTTGAAATTGAATATAAGCAAAATCAGATTTTATAGTAGATGGACATTGGAAAACAGGTCTATCTCTTTGGGGGTGGCATGGGTACTGCTTCACTCAGACATCACAGTTAAAAGGAGGTTGTGCTAAAGTCACTAATGTATACAGTAAACATTCATATTCCCACTGGAGGTTCCCAACTTATCCAAAAGCCAGAACCAGCTAATTGGTTGCCAAAGCTAGCTATGCTACTGTTACAAGTTGGAAAAATGACAACATCGTATCCATACAGTAGGGCTTGATGGGCGGGAATTACATCGAGATGCCAAGGATGAAGCATTCAAAAGGGGAGAGTCTGCCTTAGATGCAGGGCATGAGCTTCTTCCAGTACAAGGGGCAGAATTACAGTCGGATACTGGGATTGAAGGATCAACCTGTAATATTGTAAAACTAGATTTAAATAACAAATCCTTTATAATAGCAGTGTTTTATACCTAATAAAAATTACCATAACCCAACCCCCGGGATTGAACTCAGCCCTGTTTACCAGGTTGAAATTTCAGCCCTATCTGTAATACAAAACTGTATCAAAATCAAACGTGCGATTACATGACAAAATTTTCAACCCAGGGCTGACTGCTGAGTTCAACCCCGGGGTTGAAATTTCAACCTTCAGCTAGCAGGGTTAAAATCTCAACCCCGGGGTTGTAATAGTTTCAACCCAGGGTTGAAATTATCATGAGTTATTCGAGCATGCGTAGTAGTGACTATTTATTACAAGAACACAAAATGAAGGCTTTTTTTACCTCCGGGAATTCATGCCGAGAACGTATAGTATAGCATGCTTGTGTGATGTTACTCTGAGTGTATATCCACACCGGGCAGGCTTGAAAAACATGCCTCGCCATGGTGGCCAGAACCGACCAGACCGCATAGCTCAGTTGTCAGAGCATTGGACTAGTATTCCAAAGGTCGTAGGTTCAGTTCCCACCGTGGCCAGGCATATTTTTCAAGCCTGCCCGGTGTGGATATACACTCAGAGTAACATCACACAAGCATCTTATTCACCATCTGGAGTACATTACACCAACACAGCAAATCTCATGATTATTAGATTACACTGATATCGAAGGAGCTAGACTCAGTTCCGAAGTATAGCATACTCGAACCAACCTGACCGCGTAGCTCAGTTGGCAGAGCATTGGGCTAGTATTCCAAAGGTTGTAGGTTCGATTCCCACCGTGGCCAGGCATATTTTTCAAGCCTGCCCGGTGAGGATATACACTAAGAATAACATCACACAAGCGTCTTATTCACCTGAGTACATTACACCAGTATAGTATAGCGTTTCAACCCGGGGGTTGAAATCGTCCATGTAATCGCAAAAAAATTTCAACCCGGTTAAAGATGCGGTACAGTCCGTATGTAAACAAAGGCTTATTTTACATTTCGGTATCCAAAATATTGAATTTTATTCCACAACTATTTATATTTTCATGATTCTAGAGTATAATAAGTATAATAAATTATCAAGAGACAACAATCAAGCTTTGCAAGAACATAAAATGAAATAAAAACCTAAATAAACTGTTTGTAAATAAAAAAAGGGTTCCTTTGTGCACATGCGCAGATCGGACTGTACCGCATCTTTAACAGGGATGAGTTCAACCTCGGGGTTGAAAGTTCTCCATGTAATCGGCTCGTTGGTCTCCATTTCAACAAGAGAATCTCATTTCTATATAGAATGGTGGCCATGTTGGTCCCCAAATTCAATTATCTGTTAATTACCAAAGGATTGTTTGCAAGTCAAGAATATATAATAATATGCCTTTAATTGCAATTATAATTTACCTGATTTTTATATCCTTGTATAGCAATCCTTAATTTGAAAATCTTCCCTCCTTTTGAAACCAGTTATTTTAGCAAGACATCACTACAGGCAAGCAACTCGATTGTGCAGAGCTATTAAAATATTAAAAACAACCATTATTTGTTTATAAAATGTGACTATTTATACACTGTTAATTTTGTAACATAGCTGCCATTGCATGCTGTCCCCACACCTGACCTCGGTTGGTATTTCGGTACAAATAAAACACTAGCAGGACTGTGACCAGACATCACAATCAGACTTGGATCCATATTTATATAAACAATAAACATTGTACTATTGCAGAAATCCAGTGCAGTAGAAATCATATTTTCATAATTTTCAACATAAATAAGTTCGGTGCTTCCAGGAAAATTTCATGGTATTTAAGGATTTAACATGTTCTCATAGCTATGTCAGTATGTGAATATGTGATGGATACCCCGTCTTCTGTCAGATTGTCTACATCATAATAGCCGACTCCTGCACTCAATATATAACACTCAGTCTCAGATAATTCTAGGCTCATTGATGTTGGTTAAAACGAATAAAATGTCTTTGGATTAAGAAGAATATTAAGGAAATCATATGTTTTCGGCATACCATAGTTATAATACAACCCAAAATCACTAAATTATTTTTTATGATGGCATATTTAGACGGGCACCGATCCTTCCCATAAAAACAAAATAAACTTCACAGTATACCTCTAAATCTGAATCCATTTCTTCTCTGTATACTGTTTCTTGAATATATTTGACAAAACGGAGGGAATGAAGCTCAAATTTAATGCTTTAAAACGGCAAAACGCATTAAGCACATATTTCCAGCCTTGCTTCGGTGAACACGAGGGAGAAAAGATTGAATATGGCGCGCGCGATGCGTATTGGGTTCGTATTGTCACGTGATGTTGAAAGAGGCGCATAATTGGATGACCAATCAAAGGCTCAAGGAAATCAAGTTTGCAGGAATAGCAATTTCTAGTGATGGGCGATACCACCAGTATCGGTTTCGATACGATACCGATTACTTTTTGGTTAAAGTATCGAGATATCGATTACCCAAACGATTACTTCCTCCAATTTTCAAAAAGTTACATATTTTTAACAGTAACGATTTGATCCGCCATTTCAATCCATAAAAAAATAAAAAATTACTTTATTTCCCGCCTTTTTCATAATTTATTTTGTCGGCGAGAATAGAATATCAAATAAAGTATAAAGGAAGTTTGAACAAATTGATAAATGCAGCAAAATACCAAAAAGTACACAAATTTTATTAGAAATAACCATGAAAACGATGACACAACTACAGGATTATAATGAATGTCTAATTTTAAAAGTAATCGAAACACTTTTTCGATACCGTGCAGTATCGACTACTTCCTGTTTGGGCCTGGTATCGGGTGGTATCGACACCAAGTAATCGGTAATCGCCCATCACTAGCAATTTCATGTGTAAGATTAGAGTGTAAGATACGATCTGGATTTATGTTAATCATGATAATCATCTGCAAATGCATAGTTTACCCTGGTTCCAGAGGCTCTTTGCGAGGCGAAAGAAACGATAGGCGAGAAGGAAGAGCCTCCGGTAACATCGGTTGCAAGTCCCACTTCCACACTTGACTTGATTAGGTTCAGAATTTGAATCTCGTATGTAATTCGCCATTTTGTAAAAAAAAACATGTCAAACCGGTATGGGAAATAAATTAGCTTACAGTAATGTTTATTTCCCAATTTTCTCATTTTACTCCTTTATGAGAGTTGAATTGACTCCCAGAAATGCATTACTTACTCCGGTATGTTTACTCCTTTTTTGGAATGAAAACAAAGGAGTAAATATACAATAATTACTCCGGTATGTCTATCCCTTTTAAAGAGTAAATTCTACTCCTTTATGAGAGTTGGATTGACTCTTAGAGCAGTAAGATTGGAGTTAAAGTTACTCCTGGAGTAAAAATAAAAGAGTAAAAAGTACTCGCATATTTGTACTCCTTTGCTGGAGTATATTTTATCCCTGCAATGGAGTAATATTTACTCTTAGTAGAGTAGAAGTTTTAATGTCAAATGAAGTGGAGTAGTTTGAACTCTGGTTTTGGAGTGAAATATACTCTAATTTTTTTACTCCCCAAAAGGGAGTTATTTCAACTCTTACGGTGGAGTTAAAATTACTCCCTAGAATTAACAGTGCAGAAAGCTGAAAGATGACACTTATCGGCCTGATGACCCATACTCGATCAACAATGTTCCCCCTGTGATGTCTTCCCGTATTTCATCGAGAGAAAGCCGAAGATCCAAGATTAATTTTGGATCAAGGTCAGCCGTACAGTTTACAACATCTGCTCAATGATGATGCCTGGACCAAGATGTACGTAGCAGGCACTGTCTTCCAAGCCTTTCTTGATACTGCCAACTACCATCGCTGGCATGCACCAGTTGCTGGTACAATAACCAAGGCATACATCAAGGAAGGCGCGTATTATGCAAAAGCTCTCTCAATGGGTTATGATCCAATAGCCAATACATATTCACAACGTTATCTCAGTCACGTGGATACCCGAGCCATAATCCACATTGATACAGGCAAACCAGAAATTGGTACCGTGATCTTTGTCGCAATTGGAATGGCTGAGATCTCAAGTTGTCCTCTTGAGGTCTATTATGGGCAGGAAGTGAAGAAAGGTGATCCTCTAGGCACCTTCCAATTTGGTGGATCTTCGTATTGCCTCCTGTTTAAGAAAGGCGTGAGCCTGAGCTTCACAGCAGAGCATTACCCAATGCAACTCTGGAGCAAATTGCTGCAGAAGGTCAACAGTGATCTCGGCAGAGTTTTGTCCACCTGAACTGTTTTGACTCAAACAGTAGTAAGATTATTAAACAGTCATACTAATATATACCATAATGTTGGTTGAAATTAACTGGAAATTGGTCTGATTATTAACCATGAGTATTAGTATTTTTAAAACAATGAGTGCATGGGCTTAGCAATTACAGTACTTTGGGTATTAGGAACTGTTTATATTATTACTACATGCATATATTGTAGGCAATTTGCAAAAATAGGGTGCATTTAAATTGGAATTTTGTTTCCTGTGGGCGCAATGTATTAGTGATTTATTGTTTTGAGGGATAATAAATATTGGTGTGGTGTCCTTAAACTTGTTTCAGGATTTTCTCTTGGGTCCGTTTTTGCAGAGAAGATCGAGTTTGGCTGAACAGCTGGGGGCGGCACGGAGTGCCACGTGTACTCAATAAATGTAGTTGAGAATCAGAGTCTTGTGATTATACTAACAGGTTTCTTGAACAACTGTTCACGTCATCATATATGCCTCTTATGCTGAGACCAACAAGAATCACAGAGCATACAGCCACACTGATTGACAATATTTTCACCAATGACATTGAAAATATAGAATCTAGCACAAATGGAATAATTTTCTCCGATATCTCTGATCATTTATCTATAGTCCATGTACGTAATTCAAAAATACACCTTGAAACTACACGAACGGCCGAATTCATTTGTAAAAGGATTATCAACGACTCCAATATTCAGTCATTTACTAACGAAATTAAATGTATATCATGGGACAATGTACTTTCTAACAACAACTCTGCAGAATCCTACCGCAATGAATTCTTCGACTTATTCGCAAATGTTTATGAGAAAAACTTTCCTTTAACCAAAAAAGTATTTAAAAAAAAATTGACAAAAATAAAAGCCCATGGATGACAAAATGTATTGCAAAATCAGTAAAGAAAAAGAACACACTATATAAGAAATACTTATGTCATCCTACAACAAATAATGAAGACAAATACAAACGATATAAAAATAAATTAAATCATATAATAAAAATAGCAAAAAAGAAATACTACTAGGAACAATTAATAAACTACAAACATAATACGAAGTTATTATGGAAAACATTAAATGAAATTATGAATAGACATAAGAATAACAATATGCTACCAAGAGAATTTAATGGAAATAGCCCTGGGGAAATAATAAGTGATCCATATACAATAGCAAATAAGTTCAACGATTATTTTGTAAATGTTGGACCAGGAATAGCCAGAAATATTCCAAACAGTAAAAGAACCTTTAATGAATACCTACCTAACAGCTA